ATTTATTCAGTGTAGTTTTAAAAGAAGTTGAAATATCAGTGACAGTTCTAATCAGAGAAGTGTGTATAGTGTTATAAGTAGTGTCATTATGATTAACTAGGATTTTCAGATTTAAGAGCTGATGCTCTCAGTTTATTCAGTGAGTGTCTATTACATTGAAGGATATATCTTACTCTCATTATATGAGAGCATCTATTCTCAAGTGCTGCCTGCTAGAGCAGTAGTGTATTATGAAATGAAAACAGCTTAATAGCTCAGATTATTACATCTGTCATTCAGTAAGTTTATAAGTGATTATAAGATACTTGAGATTCTTGTAATCTGTCATTATCTTAAATTTGAAGACACTTCAGAGCTCAGAGTCTCATTCTTTCAGATAGTGTACTATTGTAAGAAGTTTCTTATTATAGATCTCATAGTTGTATTCAGCAAGGCTTAGTTTCTTAGACATGAAGACATATAATTATAAGATATTTTTATTATTATATGATAATGTAACTCTCTCTGTAATATAGTCAGAGAAGTCATCTTTAATAACTATTTTATAATCAGAGTTAAATATTATTAGTAGAGAGATATTAATGAATATTTTCTTCATCTATATAAATGCAGCTTCAGTATTTACTGATCATTGAAATACTTAGTTCTTCTTGATAAGTTGTATAAGTGATCTAAAAATATCTCAGAAGTTTCATATAACTCACTGATATAAGTTAGTGAATTCAATGACACTTTATACATCTTTCACAGTGTATGAAGTCTGTTATTCAAGAATAGCAGAGATCTTTTCAGAATTCATTTGAATTCTCTTATCAGCTTCTATGATAAAATCTAGATATTTTATACTCTTAACTTTAAAGTTACACTTGTCTATGTCTATCAGTAGTTCTTCTTCTTGTAGTTATTATAGTACTCTTTGTACATGCTCTGGATATTCTTTTCTCAACTCATCAGTAAATATGAGAATATTATCAAGATAAGTAGATAAAAACTCATTAAGAAAATCTCAGAGTGCTTAGTTAATATACTTCTGAAATGTATTAAGAGTATTAGTCAATTCAAAAGATGTGACTACTCATTTAAAGATATTATATTGTGTTTAAAATACTGTAAGTCACTCATCTTCTTTGATGATATAAATCATATGAAAAGCAGTGATAACATCTAGCTTTATAAACTATTGAGCTTCTTCAATATGAGTTAGAGTTTCATTGATAAGAAATAAGAAATAGCAGTCTTTCTTTCTTAATCTGTTCAGTTCTTAATAGTTTACACAGAATTGCAGTCTCTTATCTGATTTCTTTATAAAGAGAATAGAAGCTGGAGTGAGAGAGTTACTAATATATATAAATTCTTTATTTAACAGATTATTGAGTGTCTTTTGAAGAAGAAGAAGTTCATCTCAGAATATATTATAAAGAGCGTCTCAAGATAATTCAGATTTCTTATCATTCTTCTTTTCTAACTTAATACTGTGATCTATATCTCAGTCTTATAAGAGAAGTAGATTTGTAACATTATCTTGTCAGAAGATATCTAGATATTCATAATATTATTAAGAGAGTTTTGTATGAGAGTCTGTTATTATAATATAGAATAACATTTCTAGAGCTTTTTTAATATTGATCAGACTGATAAAGTAGATTGTTATATAATTCTACTATCAGTGATCTTATCAGTAATCTTATCAGTAACTTCTTTTTCAGAGTATTTTACAATTGTTGACAGAGATCTGTGTCAGATTCATAGTCTTGTGAATATTATCTTCATGAATTATATCATTGTTAGAGAGTATTAAACTTCTGTTTCAAGTGTTTAATAAAATACCTTGTTCAGATAGTCAGATGAGTTCTAGTATAAGATTATAGTTAAGATTATTAACTTCATATATATAAGTATCTTCTCATTAATATTCTTCAATATCTATGTTTAGTTTTATCATGTAATGAGTGTAAACATCTTTCAAGTTATCAAATTCTGCAAGGAGTCAGTGTTTTAAAAACAGAATATACTGAAGATTATGATATCTTATGACTGAAGATTTAATCATTGTATAGTAGTATAGACTGCTGTCTATCATGACTTTTATATTATACATGGTATTTGTCACACTAGATATAAGAATCACATTCATTATCATTTTATCTTTAAATCATTGTTATTCAACCTCTTTAAGCTTCTGCTTATAAGTTTGAACAGCAGCTAATCTTTTTCCTACTTTATCAGAGAATTCTTATAGTTATCTTGTGAATCTTTCTTTAATACAATGTAATTGACATGGACAGGTGCTGATTATTTCTTAGAATGAGAAGACATATAGGTTGATTAGCAGTTAAAAGTAATATATTCTGATTAATTACAGTTGATGCACATTTCTCATCAATGTTGATGAACAGCTTCTTTAGAAGTGATTTCAGAGACTCAGAAGCCTGTTCAGACAGCAGAGACTCTTGCTTATATATAGATACTTAAGTTCACTCAATTTATGATATCTGTGTTATTCTTTGATATAGATGTATAAGTGTATCATCTTCTACTATTAATCTGTATACTCTTAAGCTTAATAAGATGATTATTCAATGTCTGAAGTTGTATACAGAAGTCTTCATAAGTCTGGTCTTTATCTATACTTATAATAACTTATAGAAGTTTAAAAGTTAGTGTCTTCTTAAGCAAGCTAATCTTTATTTAATTCTCTTAAAATTTATTATCTACTTTTAGAATCTTAATATTAAAGTCAGAGATGAATGTTGTGAGAGAAGTATTTCTCTATTAAATACTCTGTAATCAATCTAATATCTTCTGCTATATAGCAGTGTCTCTGAACAGAATATCAAGATATCTAATAATATTATCAGATATATATAACACTGATTCACATGTCTTTATTTATAAATGAAACTTCTATTTTATAGTATCTTTCAATTGATCATTGACATATCAATCTTAATTAGAGTGGCCGCCGGGACTATGAATTTCACGTTTGATCTCATTTGGTCTGATTTTATACATTTCTTCCTATAAACCTCACTAAGACTAATTATTAAAAAATCATGCAAAGTGACTATATATCAGATCTTAAATTGAAATCATGACTTAGAAAAATTAAGAAAGTGATCTCATTTAATTTCATTTAGTTATATTCTTTGTGTAAAGTCACTATTTTTAGACATTTTAAGGTTTTTTTTAGACTATTTTTAATTTTTTAAAAAGTAATGCTTTTTGATAATACTTAAATGAGATTTAAAGTCATTTAAAGTGATAAAAATAATTTAAATTGAGAAGTGAAAATCATGATCTTATTTGAAAAATGTGATAAGAGTAGATAGTAAGTCTCACTGAAACAGTATAAGACTACTATCTAATGTTAAAACTGTGTAATGAGATCAGTTGAATTGATAATACGATTATTTAATATTCTGATTCTGGTTTCAGACACGGTCACATGGTCAGTCTAATCTTAATTAGTTAATAAACTGATAATATCTTCATTTACACTTAGTTTCACAGACATGCTCAATTTTTATAATAAATAGAGAGTGAGATTAGAAGTGTTAAAATATATAGAAATATCTAGATATTTTTTAACACTTGTATATTTATATTTAATTCAGTTAATATTGAGATTGTCTGTATAGAAGTTTCTTGTTAAGTTAACTATTAACTTTTCTTATATTAACATTGTTAATTTGTATATATATAAGCTGTCTATTATTATTATAATTTCAATATTACTCAGAGTCACTGTAATACTATATTTATACTCATATTCAAGAGTTCTTCTGTATTATTAATAGATATAGCTATATTATTTATTAAATGTATAATATCTGTATTTAAGAGTTCTTCAGAATTGAAAGAAGTATTATTACATAAATATTATATATATCTAATATATCAGAACTCTCAGATCTTTTACTGATATTATCTTCATAAGATCTTATTACAGAGTTAGAGTGACTGATAAGCAAGCTTCTATTTATCTAGTAGAAACTCAGTATTTACTTAACTAGTCTGTGATTGTTTATTTTCTTATTTCTTATATATTATTACATATTTACATATCTTTTTAATAGATAATTATTTCTAATGAGAAGATGATAATTGTTTTTCAAGTATAAGAGGCCTATACTAAATAGATCAGTATAATATATAGATCTTATATAATAAAAGTGAAAAATATTTGAGAAGAAAAACAAAAAGAGAAAGTATGAGAATTGATAATTAGAGCAGATATTTATACATGTATGAGATAAAGCTTCATGATGGAAGAATAGAAACTCCATGAGTTCTTCAGCCGAGAATCAGCAACCGAGAATCGGGGCTTCCGGCAGGAATCTATGGAGTGTAATCGGAATAGTCTTATAATCGGGCGCAGCCCGCCACACTACAGAAGCTTAGCACACTGCATCCGAGCATTGAGTGCTATACACAAGGTCTCATTTATTGTCAACAACACCTCTGAAATATGCCATATAGTTCTTTCAAATCTATTTCTTCAATTTTATTACTTCACACAAACTCTATCATCTTTTTCTTTCACTTGTGTGCTTATTTCTTTCAGTCAGCTGAAACAATTGCTTTAGAAATAGTAATGCTCTTCATATTTTTTATTTTGCCACTCTTAGTGATATTATTATATTCAAAGAATATCACAGCACTTATACTTTTGAGAAAGCATAGGCCACAGTGATCTACACTGTAAACTTTTTCAACTTCTCTTAATTCGCCCTGAAATATGAAATCTTGAGCACCTGTGTATTCTGATGCATTCACTTTCTGACTCTTTCTGTAACACACACATTCACATTCTGCTACAGAATCAATAAGTGTAGACTATCAATACTTCTTATTCTCATGTTTATGATAAATTCAATGTATAATGTTTAGCTTTCTCACATTTCCACACTCATCCAATCATACTCTCTACAAACCCAGTCAACTGCGCATTGCATCAAAACTTGGAGAGATCTCGCATGAAACCCTACACAATAGAAACAATGCCGGCGCCATCAAGGCCTTCCTTCCTCTCCCTTTCTAAATCACCTTCATTCGCTACCTCTCCCCCCTCTCACACAGAACCTCCTGAGTTACTTTCATCTGATAGTAATCAGCCGAAATCAGATCCAAGTGCTTCAATAGCCGCATCTCAAACACCAGTGTCATTGTCCATCATCCTGTCAAACTTGATCCCGACATTTCTAATACTCCTATATGCCATTTACATTATCCATCGAATCAGACGGTATACGCGATTCGCGGGAATCAAGAGGTTCTTCCACATATGTGTTTCTTTACCGCAGAATACTATGGACATAGTGTGGAGAGGGAGAAGGAGGGGCATTGATGGATACGTGCATGTCGATGCCAATCCAAATTCCGACCATTCCTTTGAACGTGGTGGATGGGACGAACTGGCAAGTTATGGTGTTAATGGGCATGAAGAGATTGAGATCGAGGGCCAGCAGGACGTGGCCGGAACCGGGAGACCAGTTGAAAGTAAGGGTTGTCAACAGGGTGATCAACTTATTGATAGCTTAAGCTCAGGTTGCGATGCCTCCGATGCGGCATTGGATACACCCTTGGAGGACGACGGGGAGGAGCAATTAGACATGTCCAGATATTTCGACCCAATGACGTCAAGGCTGCGAGAAGGCGTCCTTTTTGGCCCTGAGATAGAGATTGGGCGCGAGGATAAGGCTGAATTTGAGGGCAGAGGAGAAAAAGGAGATATCACGGCGTGGATTGATGGCGCCGTTGGTAGGGTTGTTGCGAGGTTTGTCAGTTGGCTGGATGACTGACTTTGAAACCCCTTGTTAGCGTGAGTGCTTGGGTAATGTAAAACAATGCTATGAGTGTGCATCTTGAAATAATGTCAGATTGGCTAGATAATTGAGTATAATAAATGCAGACAGAAGACAGATGAAAGGGATGAAGTGATATGAACAATGTCACACTTGTAAAATGTTTTTGTAGTATTGTGGTGAACATATTACTTTTGAAAACAGAATTTTCCCAGCTCTCATTGAAAATTAGTAGCAAAACACTGCAAAAAAATCAAAATATTTATGTTTCTCTAGAATTATTCAATTATCATTCAATATGCATCTTTTTCAATTAATTATTATTGAAATATGCCTCTTTCTTACCTTAATTATTAAATTTATATATATTAATCAACTCTTTTTTCAATATGTCTTATAACACTCACTGTCTTACTGCTTTACAAGCTTATATAAAGACTTCTACTCTGTGCTTTAGTCTTCTCAAACTACCTGTTTCAGAAGTTCTGAATAATAAAGAGGATCTGTGTAGTATTCACTCTTACTACTTCTCAGAGCTTCTAATTCTTTCTTCTTCTACTTTATTCTTATTTCTCTATCTGAAAGTATATTTACTTATTACTTCTTAGAGCTTTTATATCTTTCTGAAGCTTCTATCTCTTTCTTTCTAAGAGTTCTATCTCTTTCTTTCTGAAGCTTCTATCTCTTTCTTTCTAAGACTTCTATTTTCTTCATTCTGAGACTTTCACTTCTTTCTTCTGTAAAGTCAATCACAATAAACAAATATTTATATATATATATATATAGAGAGATGCTCGCTCATCTTTAGATTAGAAGAATAAGACAAGGTTTATCTTTTTACATATATAATACATAATTAGTATACACTATAGATAATATATACTGCAATTTAATAGTATATCTATTTAAGAATAAAATTCTCAGTTCTCTTAGATTTTACTGTGTTATTAAAGTTATAATACTAATATTTAATCTGAGTTGTAAATAATAAAGTTCAGTTAACTGATAAGCAGTCTGATTAGCTTCTCTATATTCTTTCTATCTTTGAGAAGATATAGTACTGATAATTAATCTGAGTTATAAATAATAAAGTTCAGTTAACTGATGATTAATCTAATTAACTTATCTATCTTATTGTAATACTGTAGCTGATAATCTGTTCAGTTTGTAATAGATTTACTCTATACATATTTATTACACACTGCAATGAAGCAGAATGAATAAGTTAATAAAAGTAACTTCTATCAGATACTCTGCTCTGCTGAGCTGAATAAGTTTACTGAGAAATAAACTTTCTATAAATCTGCTGAAAGATCTGATATTAAGTATATCTACTTGTAGATAACAGTAGAGAAACATACTGTTATAATTATAAAAATCTGATAGAATGTAAATAAATAATATAATAATATTATAAATTAAGTTACACTATACAACTATGTTAAGATAGAGAGTATTCTTATAAAAGTATCTATCAGATATTATAATAACACTAAGATAAGTCTTAACTCAGTTTCTGTTATAGAATAAATGAATATTATTAATTATTAACTACTGATTTTCTATACAGAGATTTTAAAGTATATAAAAGAAAGAGAGTTAATAGCTTTAAGCAGTGTTAAGTTTAATTATCAGAGTCATATCTCTCTTGATAAAGCTGCTGTATTAGATATAATTAAAGAGTTGAAGTAGCTGAAGTCTCAGCTAACTCAGTGAGAAAGTGAGTTAAATAAGTATGAGTATCAGCTCAATTAACAGCAGAAATAGCTGAATAAGTATATTACTCTTTGTAGCGGGCTGCGCCTGATCAATGATATAGACTATTTCATTACACTTCACAGATTCCAACCACTTTATTCTCGAACATGTATGCTCTGATTCTCAGCCATTCTCAATCATCAATTCTCAGCTGTTATAAACATGTATAGATTCTTCTGCTCCGAAGCTTCACTGTGTATATTACCACATACATGTATAAATATTCACTTCAATTACTGATTCTCACACTTTCTCTTTCTTTTTCTTCTCTAACATTTTTCTCTTTATTATATAAGATCTATTAATATCATACTAATCTATTCAGCATAGGCTTCTTATACTAGAAAAACATTCATTGTCTCCTCATTAGAAATGATTATTCATTGAGAGATATTCAAACATGTAATAACATGTAAGAAAGAGAAACAGTTACACAGACACTGAGTTCTCAGATAGAAGCTTGCTCACCAGTCACTCTGACTCTGCAATAGAATTTTATAAGAGAATATCAGTAAAAGACCTGAGAGTTCTGACATTCAGATGTATGAGATATTCATACAATTACACTTCTTCAGATTTCACAGATATCACACATCTGATAAATGATATAATCATGTCTAACACTAATATGAGAGACTCTTAAGTGCAAGCATAGATATAATATCATAGTGACTCTGAGCAATGTTGAAATTATAACAGTAACAGATAGCTGATATGCATGCAACTCAACAACTTTAATACAAGGAAATTCAATAATTAATTCAACAAGAAATTCATGCAATTCTAGCATTTACAGAATTGAATATAAAAGCACTGAAAGAATGCTTAGATGCTTCTACATATTTCAATACTTTTAATCTCACTCTCTACTCATCATGAAGAATGGAAATACTCACAAAACTGAGTGTGAATGAAGATATCATCAATTCATTAACTAATCAAGATTGATATATCAATGAATGATTGAAAGATTATGTGAAACAGAAGTTTTATTCATGAATAAAAGCATGTGAATCAGTGTTGCAAACACTTGACAATATTATCAAACATCTTGATATTCTGTTCTAAGATACTACCATGCAACAGAAAGTGTTACATTGATTATAAAGTGCTTAACAGAGAAACACTTCTCTTACAACATTCATTCCTGACTTTGATATCAAGATTTCAAAAGCAGGTGATCAATCTTGAGAGAATTGAATGAAGATTAGCATGCTCAAGAAGACATTAACTTTCAAACTCTTACAGACTCTTGTAAGTGTAGACAAAGACTAGACTTATGAAGGTTTCTACACATAGCTTCAGACATTGAATAACTGTCTTATCAAGCTCAAGAGTATACAGAACAGTGATAGAAGATATTACACTCACACATCTATACTAAGAAATAACTCAGTCACTCACACACCTGCACTGAAGAATAATAATGATGCAGATGCTATGAATTGAGTAGACTCAAATATCTACACATAAGCAAGAGTTTTCACTGTTCAAACAGGCTTCTAAGTTCCTGAGATCACTCTCAAAGAAGTCACTGATCAATGTCAATATGAAGTATACATTAACTGTAACTGATCAGAACACATTGCTTTCAACTGTTGATTAATCTATATATCTTCTCAATCAAGAGAAAGATCAGTGTCTTCTTATTCAAAAAATGAATCAGTGTCTGTTCTCATCAATCATATTGCAGTGAAGAAAGATTCAGAAGATAACTACAAGAATATTTCAGTGAAACAGGAAAAAGATTAGCTTCTATTCAAATTTATAAACAGAAGCTTGAAGAGATTGAATGACAACAATTTGAAGAGAAAATGACAATGAATGCAATTCTTGTATCTACTGTAATTAATAATATATATAATATAAAAGTCATGCTAGACAGCAGTCTATGCCACTATACAATGATAAAATCTTTAGTCATAAGATGTCATAATCTTCAGTGTATTCTCTTATCAAAATCCCAACTTCTTACAGAATTCAATAATTTAAAAGATGTTTGCACGCATTACATGATGAAACTAAACATAGATATTGAAGAACATTAGTATGAAGACATGTATATATATGAAGTTGATAATCTTGATTATAATCTAATGTTAGAACTTGTCTGACTATCTGAATAAGACATCTTATTGAATGCTTAAAACAGGGGTTTAATATTCTCTAATAATGATAGAATTCATGAAGATGATATTCACAAGACTATGAAAATGACACAGCTCTCTGTCAACACTTATAAAATGCTCTGAAAAAGAAGTCATCAAAATCACTGACAAAGTCACTGATAGCAGAATCATGTATCAATCTATTTCATCAGTCTGATCAATATCAAGAAAGCTCTAGAAAAGTTATCCTGTACTATAATAATAGATTCTCATATAAAACTCTCTCAATAATATCATGAATATCTAGATGTCTTCTGACAAGATAATATTATGAATATATCTTCTTTACAAGGCTCAGAAGTGAATCATAGTATCAAGTTAGAAAAGAAGAATGATAAGAACTCTGAGTCACTATAAGATTCTCTTTATAATATGTCTCAAGATGAACTTCTTCTTCTTCAGAAGACACTCAATAATCTGTTAGATAAGAGATTTATACATGTTAACAACTCTTTCACTGCAGCTTCTATTCTCTTTACAAAGAAGTCAGGTGAAGAACTCTGATTCTATATAAACTACTGAGATCTGGAACAGATTGACAAAGAAAGATTGATATCTCTTATCTCTCATCAATGAAACCCTAGTATGAATCAGATGAGCTCAATGATTTATAAAGCTAGATATCATTACTGTGTTTCATAAGATTCTTATCAGTGAAGAAGATGAATGACTTACAGCATTCTGAACATATTATAACCTCTTTGAATGAAATGTTATACTCTTTGAACTGACTAACATTCTCAGTACATTTCAGAAGTATATTAACTGAGCACTTCAAGATTTTCTTAATAAGTTTGCATCTGCTTATCTAGATAATATTCTCATCTTTATCAATGAATTCAGAAAAGAGTATCAAGAGCATATGCAAAGAGTATTACAATAACTATAAGAAGCAGAACTATCAATTAATATCAATTAGTGTGATTTCAAAGTTAAAAGTACTAAATACTTAGATTTTATTATAGAAGCTGATAAGAGAATTTAAATGAATTCTAAGAAGATGTCTGCTATTCTTGAATAAGAAGCTTTATATACTGTGAAAGATATATAAAGCTTCATTGAATTCACTAACTTCTATCAGTAATTTATATGAATCTTCTCAGATATTACAAGATCACTTACAGAACTTACTAAGAAAGACTCAGTATTTCAATGATCAGTGAATACTGAAGCTACATTTACACAGATGAAGAAGATATTTATTAATATCTCTTT